ATATATATATATATATATATATATATATATATATATATATATCTCAAATACAGTACCGGTAAAAATATTAACATTGCCTTTGTACAGTTGACTAGCACCTACACACTCACATCTCACATATCTTTTTTATCCTCCATCAAGATAAGCGAGAAACATTGCTCAAGTTCAAGGGCACATTCCAGACAAAAATATTTGGGATGGTCCAGACTGGGGAGAGTTCTGAGGGTCAAGCAGAGAGGTGTAGAGGGCCACATCTGGCCCCCAGACCTGCAGTTCCTGTTAGGAGCTTGTCCTACTCTTGAGTAGGACCCTGGCAGAGACACATGCCTGAATGCAATGTTCCCTCCCTCCTGGTCAATCTTTCGGGATCTTCAAAAGCTTTCTTCTGCCCGAACATCACAGCGACCGATGCCAACAGACATCGGCACACTTAGGAATGTGCAGAGTCTTTGCAGCTTGTGTAACAGAACTCAGCAACTCAGCATTTTGGCTAATCTACTTTATTTATTCAGGGAAGTTTTTAACGTGTGATATTTTACTGTATTTTTGGTTTCTATGGAAGCCGCCCAGAGTGGCTGGGGAGGCCCAGCCAGATGGGTGGGGTATAAATAATAAATTATTATTATTATTATTATTATTATTATTTACATATAAACACACACAGAGCACTGCCACATGGCTCCCTCTCTCTCTAGCATCAGACAGCAAAGGGAAAGAACAGAGGACAATAGTCCCACTTCCTGGAACACAGTAACACAAACATCCTGTCTCCGTCACTTCCCACTTTCTGGAGTCAAAACATACACCATCATGTGATAGACAACAATCCCATGACTGCAAACACGGAGCAGGAATTCTAACAGTTCCTCATCCCCGGCTGTACACAAGTACCCATTGAATTAAAAATGAAAGCTGATGCTTTATTGGTTTCCCTTGTAAATAAATGATTTGGAAGTGGAGATATATGTGACAAAGCTTCAGGTCAGTGTAAACTGCTATTCTGCATTGAAAAGAAAGGCAATAGAGCAAAAAGGGAAAAATAGGAAAGAAGAAAGGGAACAGAACAACATTTATCAGATTTTATGTGTGTGTGTATTAGAGAATTTTTCCTTTTTGTAGAGACTGCAGCTGCATTGTCAGCTTTCTCCATCTTGGGCATAACAAAGTCATTCCCCCCTCTATTTGACACTTACCAACCTTGTGGTCTCACTGCTGACACTGCCACACTGTTCAAATAAGAGCACTTTGAGTGAACTAGAAATAATCTATAATTTAGCAGTGTCGAGGCTACTTGGGAAATTATATGTGTCACAAGCTATTTGAAAGCAATTTAAATGGTTAATGCTGTGAACGACTTCTGGATTCCAGGGACAGCTTCTTCCCATCTCTGATTCGGAGGTGGTGTTAATGTGGGATGCATTGGAGCACTTATCAGGTCATGATTTCCCCCTTGTGCGGCGTTTCTCAATTTTTTTGATAGCACACTTGAAATTTCCCCCAGCCCCTCAATTAAAATGAGTGGCATATCTCAGTCATATGCTTAGACATATATACAGTGAGGCTCTCGGGGCAGGATTTGGGGGCCTAGGTCCAGGGCCCCACCCCAGGGACAGCACATCTAATTTTGCACATTTAAAGCACTATGATACAACTTTAAATAGTCCCCAGAATTCTGGGAGCTGTAGATTGTTAAGAATGCTGCGAGTTGTTAAAAAGGTAACGGGACCCTTGACCATTAGGTCCAGTTGTGACCGACTCTGGGGTTGCGGCACTCATCTCGCTCTATAGACCGAGGGAGCCGGCGTACAGCTTCCGGGTCATGTGGCTAGCATGACTAAGCCGCTTCTGGCAAACCAGAGCAGCACACAGAAACGCCGTTTACCTTCCCACTGGAGCGGTACCTATTTATCTACTTGCACTTTGAGGTGCTTTCGAACTGCTAGGTTGGCAGGAGCAGGGACCGCACAATGGGAGCTCACCCCATCACGGGGATTCGAACTGCCAACCTTCTGATCGGCAAGTCCTAGGCTCTGTGGTTTAACCCATGGCGCTACCTGCATCCCTTTCACGAGTTGTTAGGAGACCCTCTATTCCCTCACAGATTGTCAGGCTTTGGAGAATCGGCTTACACACACACCCACACACCCATGGCACTAGATAAAAAGATCACATGAAAGGAATGCCTTACCAATTAGAATCTTTAATCTTTAATCTTTAATCACAGTGAGAGAACAAAGAACACATCTCCTGGAAATGGCAATGCTCCCAATTAAGGGTCATTCCCTCTTCCACCCCTATTAATCTATGTCACTCCTACGTCTTGTAATCTGAGTTTGTACCCTCTGTGCTTTGTGTTCTAACACTTTCTGAGCTCACTGTGTCTTTGGGGATGGGGGGTGAATGCTTTCCAGAGACTGTGAATCTGTTAACCCTCTCTCTCCCAGAGTTTCTTCTCCTAGCTGTTCCCCATCCAGTATTTCCCAGCTTCTGCCTTCTGAGCTATGCCCCTCTTCAAACCACTGTTCCAAATCTATACTGTCCTCCTGCTCCTGGGAAGATTCAGGATCAGGATCAGGGGTGGCTCCCACCATTCCTCCTCAGTGCGGCCTTCCTCAGCACAGTTCCTGACCCAGACCTACAATTCCCAGAGTTCCCTTTGAAGAGGAATTGATTGTTACACCACTCTGAGAACTGTAGCAGTGGGGCAGGAGGGTTTTTCTCCTTATTCCGTTCGGCTCTAGGTCCCCTTGATATTCCTCCCACGTACATGCACACGTGCCCGTAGGATATTCTGAGTGAAACTTGTTCCGACAGATCTGTGGAATTATTCAGGGCTGATTTCCACAAAAGGTTAGAAGGTTGTCAGGTTACAAGGTTATGAGTTTTCTCAAAGAAAAAGGAGGTTGCAGGAGGACTGTGATCACTGCCTTTCAAATCTTTGGCAAACTGTTCTTGGCAGCTGTGCAAGCTGGTGGCCTATGATTTATTAATTCAGTCCTGCTGATTCTATTGGTGTTAAGATTTTTATGAATTCCAGCTTGAATGGCTCTCGGATAGACACTCGGAGTCGGGGGGAGAGAAACAAGATTTCCCTTTTCTTCTTCTTTGGTCTGCGTCAAGAATCAACAGCAACAGAATCAACTACATGAAAATATCGCACATGCAAACAGTGGCAGGAGGAGGTACTTAACAAGCTCCAAGCACAACTTCCGTTCTCGAAACCCTTATGGCTTCCACTATGAAGGGTTTCCCTGCAAGGTTTCAGCAAATAATAGTCTGAATAGAAAACTGGAAGTGTGCAGAATTATGAAAGCCCTCTGTTACAACTGAGTTTTGTAGCCGCCTATTCAGAATTCTTGCCTGTTCTTTTATTGATGAATTCTCTCGTTTGGCTTCCGGAAGCTTTCCATGAAAGAGAACTCTGTAATCTTCAAAATGTCTCTGAACACATCCTCAATTTTTTTCATTATTGTGAATTATATTGTGAAATATATTTATATTCAGAGGGACGAGGTGCTGTATGGATCCAAGTGTTATGCTTCACCGAGCAAACATTTTGTTTTAATCTCCAGGATTCACCTCTCCGCTGACCACTGAGCACATTCCATTTCAAACACCAAAGATGATTTAAGAAGACATTTAAAAAATGAAGCAAGCCAATGTGGTGCCGTCCGAATATTGTTGGACTCTAACTGTTGGATCTGGTGCTTTTCTTCTAGGAAAAAAGGTGCCAGTATCACCATGAAGTTGTTACAGTAAGTACCACGTTTTTAACCAGTGCTTTTCTTCTAGAAAAAAGGTGTTGGTATTACATACCTTTGAGTACCCCCAGAAAAAAGCAATGGTTGAACCCATCATCTCTTACTATTGACCATACCGATTGGCTTGGGCTGATGGGAAATGTAGTCCAACAATACTGCATTGCTCAGGTAAAGGTAAAGGTACCCCTGACCGTTAGGTCCAGTTGTGGACAACTCCGGGGTTGCAGTGCTCATCTCGCTCTATAGGCCGAGGGAGCCGGCGTTTGTCCACAGACAGCTTCCGGGTCATGTGGCCAGCTTCTGGCGAACCAGCGCAGTGCACGGAAACGTCATTTACCTTCCTGCCAGAGCGGTACCTATTTATCTACTTGCACTTTGACGTGCTTTCAAACTGCTAGGTTGGCAGGAGCAGAGACCGAGCAACAGGAGCTCACCCTGTCATGGGGATTCGAACTGCCGACCTTCTGATCAGCAAGCCTTAGGTTCTGTGGTTTAGACCACAGCGCCACCCACGTCCCGGATTGCTTACTGCTGATATAAAGTGGGAGTGCAATAAACACATGTTTTGCATTCCTAAACTTGTCAGAGAGCTGCAATTGGCTGAAGACTCTTGCTGGGTGTACATCTGAGAGAAGATCAGTTTGCATCTGCTTAACCCAACAGTGAGGACTTATAGCCCTCCTTGGTGGACTACAAATCCCATCACCCCTGACTACTGACCATGCTGACTAGAGGTGATGGAAGGTAGACTCCAACAACTTCTGTAAGCCCACTTCTGGCCCAGTGCTGGCTTAATCTACAGTTCAGGGTCCTTCTGCATATGTCTTCTTATTAAGCACATATTACTAAAGATATACTTGACTACTTTCGCTAACTTGAGCAAACGATCATTATTAATGCCTTACAGAAAAGAAGGAAAATCTTGGCTGAATTTTACCAGAACTCAATGATGCTGTTGTTGTCTCTTTTTTTACACACAGCGGGAGGTAATTAAAAATGCTATGGCGACTGCCGCTTGCTTCTGAGGGTCAAGTGAATATGAGCAAAAAGGTCAATGCAAATGTAGCAGTTCCCTTGAATGCTAATGACAATACTTGCTGAGATGGAGTTCATTGAAAAAGGAACAGGAAAAATAGTCTCCACTATCTAAACACAGGTAGGCTGCACGAAAGCCACATCAGTATATGCATTAAATGTACATTATAAGCACACACCTTTAATATGTAGACTGCCAACAAGCAGGGATAGCTCAGGCGGTAGAGCATGAGACTTAATCTCAGGGCCATGGGTTCAAGTCCCATATTGGGTGAAAGATTCCTTCATTGCAGAGGGCTGGACGAGATGACCCTCGTGATTTCTCCCAACTCTACAAGTCTGTGATTCTGCGAAAGGTAACCTTCCTCGGGGATATTGCCAAAGATGAGAAGTTGTGTTATCTCCAATTGTGCATAATAACTTTTCCTTTAGGGTGGCTTGTTGGATGAGTTTCGCTGTTATTGATGGGCCAACTTCAATAATGGACCCAGGAGAGGAAATCCCCTTGTTAAGTTTGACCAGTCATTTTCATGGACTCCTGCCATTCAGCAGTGTGTACAGTGGTACCTCAGGTTACATACGCTTCAGGTTACATATGCTTCAGGTTACAGACTCCACTAACCCAGAAATAGTGCTTCAGGTTAAGAACTTTGCTTCAGGATGAGAACAGAAATCGTGCTCCGGCGGCGCAGCAGCAGCAGGAGGCCCCATTAGCTAAAGTGGTGCTTGACGTTAAGAACAGTTTCAGGTTAAGTATGGACCTCCAGAACGAATTAAGTACTTAACCTGAGGTACCACCGTACCCATATTTTTTAAAAAACCACTTAGAAATAGGATTGCCATATTTCTAGAAGTAAAATTCAGGACACCAAAGTTGTTGACCTTTTGGGGGGAAATGAAAGTCAAAGTAGTTGAGCTTTATTTAGGCAATCAACCTCAAAATCCCAGACGTTTTGCTGATTTTCCAGAATACCCCATGGGCGCTATTTTCGCTGTTTAAATCCTGTACATGTCCGGGAAATTATGGAAGTATGGCAACCATCCTTAGAAAGCTATTTTTCTCTGCTGTCATCTTTCTGCAGCATATCTTTAGCAGATTGGCAGGAAAGTGGCATGCCTACAGCCTTACTTTGTTGCAAAGGATCAGTTTTAGGTCCATTACCATGCCTCATTTTAGTGGTCCAAGCAATCAGGGAATGAATTCTGACAGGCAACCAATAGTCAGGACCTGAAAACTAGAGATGGGTGAGAAACTCCACTTTGGAATAGTTCAGAAATGAGTTGCATTTTTCTTGGGTGGGATGGAGACGGGGACATTGGATAATTCTCCTTCACTGTCTGAGAACTATGGAAAATCCTCCTCAAACACTGCAGTCCCCAAACATTGTTCCTGCCAGCCTCTGACTCCAAAACACACTCTTCCCTTCACTTTCAGGAGATGGGTAGCAGCAAGGATAACTGGGGAGCCGATGGAGCGTTCCTCCCTCTCCCAGTTCCTTGTCTCATCAGATACTGCAGGTTTCATTATATGCCATCCTCTGGTCCAGCAATGTACCTGAATCAACCTTTTCTGTCCGCAGGGTGCTGTCACTGGGGACAGCAGGGGTGTGAGGTGGGGGGATGACAACAAAAGACAAAGTCAAAGTGTGTCTGGCAGTCACAGTGTATTACATCCCAGTTGGTGCCCTTCCATAATGGATGGGGACATCTGTGTTTACAGATGGTGGGAAGAATTGCCACTTCAGACTTGGACGCCTGTCTGCCATGGTTGAGGGAAATTCTCACCTAGGATAACAGCCATATCACTATTCTTATTATTTTAAAGGCAGTGGCTTCAGCAGGGGGTTTCTGACGGGGAAAATATAAAAAAAGAACAAAATTTTAAATAAATCCCCGTACCGGGAAGCCCAACAAAAACAATGGCCATAAATAAAACATGAGGCCTCCCAAGGAGGGCATTTGATGTTTATTTAACCTGAATATTGCATCAACCTTGAACAGAGCAGCTGGAAGGCAGCAGAACACACAGGGAACAGACACCATGGGAAAGCAGGGAAAGGTAATTTGGGGACTTGGTGCCTTACTCTGATCACAGTGAAGCTACACTTGCCTTTCAAGTGGAAACTTGAAACGTCAATCCATATTATGGTGCCAGTGTGGTGACCTTAGGATGCTGTTGGACAACAGCTCCCATCATCCCCAGCCAGCCCCAGTCAGGGGTGATGGGAGTCATAGTCCAAGCTATCTGGACTGCACAACATTGGCTAGACATGGACTACAAGTGGAAAGGCCTAGGCAGATTCAAGGAGAACTTCTCAGGCCAGCATTTATTAATCCAGTGATTACTTAAACTCATGGAATATGCCCAGCTTGCGGACCTAACATATAGAATAAGAGAACAAGAAGAAGATACGTTTAAAGAAGATTGGAAAATGTTTATTGAATATGTGGAGGGAAATTGTGTATATTTGAAAACGTAGACAGCATTAAGATAAATAGTGTAAATAAGTTTTGATGGATGTAATAATGGAACACTGAGTGGTTTAGTTTATATAAAATATGCAGGGATTTAGGTTATGCAAAATGAACCATGGAAAGAGAAGAAGCGAAGACACTGATGTTTTATGACTGTTTAAATGAATATTTTAAAATGTAAAACGGAAAATTTAATAAAAATTATACAAAAAAAAAGTCTCAGTTGCTACAACCTTGTCCCACATGGGAAATGCCATTGATTATTCTTGTTGCCTTTTTCTGTACCTTTTCAGGATCTGTGAGGTAATAATTCAATAATTTGATGTCCTTTTGAGTGGCCACAACTGACACTCTTCATTGCAAAGGTTCAACACATGTGGGGAGAGAGATGTCACTGTACAACATGTGGGTTGTATTCCAAAGTGCCTTGCAGTGCTTTGCAGTAGTGAACCCATTCTCCTTTTTGCTTTGTTCATACTATTCTAAATAGGTTAAGTTTAAAAAAATAATGTTTTCCGGAGCCTCTCAGAAGTAAAGGTAAAGGTAAAGGGACCCCTGACCATTAGGTCCACTCGTGACCGACTCTGGGGTTGCGGTGCTCATCTCGCTTTACTGGCTGAGGGAGCCAGCATACAGCTTCCGGGTCATGTGGCCAGCATGACGAAGCCGCTTCTGGTGAACCAGAGCAGTGCACGGAAACGCCGTTTACCTTCCTGCCAGCACAGTACCTATTTATCTACTTGCACTTGACATGCTTTCGAACTGCTAGGTTGGCAGGAGCAGGGACCGAGCAACGGAAGCTCACCCCATTGCGGGTATTTGAACCGCTGACCTTCTGATCGGCAAGTCCTAGGCTTTGTGGTTTAACCCACAGCGCCACCCGCGTCCTGCCTCTCAGAAGTAGTTAGGTGTAATAAATTCTACTTCAGTACAGAAAATGGACTTTGCAGAAGCCTTTTCCAGCCCTGCAATTACGTGATTTTATAATCCGATCCCATTGCTCTCTTTTGAGCTATTAGGGATGCAATCCTGCACACACACGCATATCCAACAGCAGGTAGCATTCTGATTGGATTCATGTGGGGTGGTTTATCAGCTTAAGCGAGAATTAAAGCAGTTTCTAAATTTACAACGCTAGAGACTTGCATTAGTTCCTTTGCAAATTACTCCTAATCCAGGATAGTCCTCCTTGGGAAATAAAAAATGGCTTTGTCCTAATTATCCTTATAATTAAGATAATTTCTCCAATAATTTGGCAGTGTTCTTTTGTTCACAATTTGTTTTGGTTAAAAACTGTCATCAAGCACATATATTGCAAATTCCTTTTTAGTGTGGATAAGTGAGAGCGTATTGTGCATAACTATTAGTCTGGGGAGAAAGGAGGAGGAAGGACTAGGCAGTGCGTACCCAGGAGATGAGTACAAAACAGTGGGTTCTTTTTCGACCCCTGCCTTTGCTGCAGGCTAGAGCATGACACTCTTCAAATAAGCAAATGCCTCCATCAACAAACACACTGCATGATGTGTAAATTTCAAGTAGAGCCCAAATCAAATTTGTGTTCAGGTGGAAGCAGCTGGGATTTTTAGTTTTATACTGATTTTAAAGCATGACGTCGAGCATTAGTAAAATGACAGGTAGGGTGGTGGGAAGTGGTAAAGAGGCTGAATAGTTTTTATATTGGGCTTTCATCTTTTGCGGGTGGCACTGTGGTCTAAACCTCAGAGCCTCTTGGGCTTGCCGATCAGAAGGTCGGCAGTTCAAATTCCCACGACGAGTGAGCTCCCCTTGCTCTGTCACAGCCAACCTAGCAGTTCGAAAGCATACCAGTGCAAGTAGAAAAATAGGTACCGCTTTAGCCCAGGAAATTCCATCGCTAGAAGAGTGGCAGATGAAGATGATGGACAATGCAGAATTGGCAAAGCTGACCGTGAAAATCCGAAACCAGCATGATCAAGCTTTCCAAAAAGACTGGAGTAAATTTGTACAATATCTGGACAATTGTAAACAATTAACAACACTAGCAGGGTTGTTGTAAGGAAACTTGAAATGCGAAGGATTTGTACCTTTTTATATCTATTTTAAAATTTGCGATTTACGGAAGGCTTGAAATGTAATGGGATAAGGTATAAATGCTATGAAGTGATCATGAATTATGGAAACCATGAGACAGGAGGGAGGGAAGTTGAAGCTCGATTGAGCAAATATGTAATGAGTATAATAAGGATTATGTGGCCAGCATGACTAAGCCGCTTCTGGCGAATCAGAGCAGCACACAGAAACGCTGTTTACCTTCCCGCTGGAGTGGTACCTATTTATCTACTTGCACTTTGATGTGCTTTTGTACTGCTAGGTTGACAGGAGCAGGGACCGAGCAACGGGAGCTCACCCCGTCACGGGGATTCGAACCACTGACCTTCTGATTGGCATGTCCTAGGCTCTGTGGTTTAATCCACAGTGCCACCCGCGTCCCTCACTTTTCCTTAGGACGTCCCTATTTTCATTGGAGAAATGTTGGAAGGTATGGAAGCTGTCCAAAGTGCTGGGGCAACCCACTAAGATGTATGGGGTATAAATAGCAAAATTATCATTTTGGAATGGGACGTCCCTATTTTCACAGGAGAAATGTTGGAGGGCATGGTAGAATGCCCCTACTTTCCATCATAGAAATGTTGGAGGGTATGGAGTTATCTGGGCCCCAAACCATCTAAAGGCAGCCCTATATAGGGAAGTTTTGTTTATTGTGGGCAACTCCCATCTCTTGTGGGGGTGCAATTAGTGCCAGCACCGTCCGTTAAGAGTTTGGG